CGGCCCAGGTTAGCCCCCCACTGTGCTAGTGAGACCGCTGTTTGAATACTGTCTTCCCGAAGAAAAACCTAAAGAGAACGGTGAGTGTAGGTAAAAGCTTTTAGAAAGCAGCCTGTCAGGTTAGGTAAAATTTGAAGACTGATAGAAGATAGCATGTAAAAGATTATTCAGGTAGCATGAGGTGGTGGGACTTCAGTTGAGGCAGAAGATGGGCAGTTAGATCTTCAGCCAGGTAACCGACAGAGATTTGGTCTGCTCTGGAGGTTGGGAGGCTGGAGGATCTCTTGGTGCAGAGCAGGTTGAATGTACTAGCTCAGCAGTGCCTGAGATCCAACCAGCACTGCCTTCAGGTACGTGAGGGAGTGAAACCTGGAAAAAGAAGACCATAAGCACTAGGCCTTTCCATGGTTCTGTTGGTGTGCAGAGCTCACTGTTGAAATAGTGCTCCTTCGTGGGCTTTTTGAAAAGCCTTGGGTGCCTTCAGGACGCTTCTGCAAAGAAGCCACAGAGCGGCGTTCCTATGCCTGCCAAAGTCTAAAAATTATTTGCACGCCAGTGTTCTGGAAGTAGGTATCTGAAGTTACTCTTAAAACCTTGAATTACCAGTTTTTTGAAAACACTACGACCTTTAGTTGTGACGTTTGGAAAGAGCACTGTATGCATATCACCTTCAGTGCATTTACAGCAGGCCAGCTCATTGAACATGGTCTGTAAATGCAGCCCCAGCAGTTTAATACATCCTTCTGCTGAGGTCTGTGCCTTCACCGCTCCCGAGCAGGGCTGGAACCTGCCCTGGGGTGCAGTTCAGTAGCAGAGCTCATGTCAGTGGTGCTGTAGTCCCATCCACTTCCCTGTGCGGTCCCACCTCCTCCTTCAGGACAGTGAGCTGGCAAGGTAATTTTTACACTTACTGGCTTACTCGGAGGCCATTTTAGCTCCCTGAAGTGGCTCACCCCATGAGGTGTGTGCCAGTGTGGGTGCCCGTTCAAGGCAGGTTTGTGTCGGGGAAGGGAGCAGTAGGACTGCAGCAGCGTTTGCTTGAAGTAGTGTGAAGCAGAATGGAAACCTGCTTTTAAAATCTCATCGACAGCTAAAGCTTGATTCTTTGTAGAAAGCAGGGACAAGTTGTCCCGGGATGACTCTGCTTGCAGAGCTGCTCGTTGGCTGGAACAGGAACTCCCAAAGTGCTTTCTTTAAACTCCTGTTCTTCCCCCATCTTCATGTCCTTGCAAGTGCACTAAACCCCGGTAAGATATAATTACATTACTCTTGAACCATCTGCTACAATAATGAGCACCATCATGACCAGTATGATAACCCGAAGGGTTTACATTTAACATGCTGGGCTGTGAGTGTGGTTTAAGATTGGGGCTTCACATCCCTGAGCATTAGATGTGCTGGGAGGACATTCCCGCTCTCTGCAGCGGCTCTGCTTGATGCTCTGTTTTCAGTGGCACCTGGTTCAACTCTTTTGTGACATCCAGCTTTGCCCTGTGTTTCCACTTGAATGGCTTTGCCAACGGTGCCAGCTGATGTAGCCGTCTCCTCTCGCCATTGCCAGTTCTGCTTGCACGGTGAACCAGATGGGGATCTCAGCCCACCCTGCGAAAATGAATTTCTTTCCCTCCAGCCAAATCAGTTCTTCCCCGTCTGGTTAATCGCTCAGCCATGGGGAAAGCTGTGCCAGTACAGAGGGGGTGTGATGTGAAGATGGGAATGAGTTCCTGGAGGGTTGTGGGAGGATGAACGTTCGTTTTTTTTAAGCAGCTTTCCTGCTTACGAAACCACAGGCTGGGCAACTGCAACTCCTTGTGCAGTGGTGTCTTTCTATATATTCCAGCACTTGAGATTCAGCGTCGCTCACTCTTTTCCGCTGCGTGGTCTGTGCTGCTTCATCCTTGCAATTCCCGCTTCGAGTGCATGTGGTGCTGGGTGTCCTGTCCATGGTAGGGTAGGTCTGTGGCATGGAGAACCTGTTTCCATCTCAGCTGGGTCATCCCAGCTGTCTGAAACCAGTGCTACACTGGTCTGTGGTTGGGTCCATCTTCCGGAGAAGGTCCTCTTTCTTTATTAGATGTTACAGTTACTGCAGTCATTGTGGGAATTATTGTGCTCTCAAAGAGCCAACAATTAAGCACTTTGCTACAATATCCTCTGACTTGGTTTACTACCTGTTACCATAGTTGAATTTAATGAGGCGAGAGCTTGGTCAGTCCAGGGACAAGGCAAGCTCCAGAGAATTAGAGCATTCTCGTGGCGGGAGTGCAGCCCTGCTTTAAAGTGGTCCTGGCCGTTGTCCTTCTATCCCCATAACCCACCCCATTCACATATGTGTTTGTAAGTTATAGCCTGTTCCTGTATTCTTCACAAGTATTTAATTAATGAGACACATTTACTGTGAGGTACAAATGATACCGAAATCATTGCTGCCAAACAGTATATTTGATATGAAGCTATGCTTTTAGATAAATTTCAATAACATTCATACTAAGTGGTCTTATAGACTATTACTTTTTGGCCAATTTGTGAACTATCATGCTAACATGTTTTCAGATGAATTGCCTTCATTATCCTACTACTACAATTAATGTATCTTTTCATGGTTACCTTGTCCTGTACTTTGTTTCTGCGCGAGGTGTAACAACATTAAATATATAGAAACAGCTTTTACCTGGAAACCTAATGGGCTTTCTAGAGCCCTGAGTATGTTTCTCAGAAACCATAAAGGCTTTCAGCGTATTTTTGTTGGCTTCTTCAGTAGGAAGCATTCACACCGAGCTAATGAGGAGGGAATAAAAAGGTGAAATCCCTTGTTGAGGGTAGGATGTTGCCAGGGGCTGAAGGGCATTTCACAGCTTGCCCTGTGCCAGCATCTGGGCCGTGGCACGAGCCGGTGCAAAGCTGAACCAACCAAATTAAAAATGGAGTGATTAGGAGAGAAGGATAGTTAGTGAGTTCACAGGTCTTGGTGGTAAGTGCCAGAGGTAGGGTGAGGAAGAGGAGGTGGGCATCCTCCACCCTCCTGCAGACAGCTCATGGGGGTTCTCTGGAGCTACAGCCCAGCATGCCTTTTGCTGTGGGAGCTGGGACCCTTCATCCGCACCTTCAAGCTTTTTGGTTTAAAACTGTCAGAAACGTTACGTGTATGCTAGCATGGATCAGTCTTTTCTTATATTCTTGTTTTTTGAGCTTTCAGCTTTTTAAGTTTTCTTTCTCTCCAGCAGTGTGGGCACTTGGAGCGTGGGTGTAAGTGGAAAGCTGAATGCAGGTTAGGGGAATGTTCCTGCTTTGCGCCTTCAAAGTTGTACTTCAGTGTATGACAGCGTGTAGGCTTTTCAGGGCAGAGATGTGTTTTCAGTAGCGTAGCAAGTACTTAATCTATTGTATCATGTCCGTGGTGTGAGAAAGCCTACGTAATGTCTCAGGATCAGCCTACAGTGCAGGTGCTGTTGGCTAAAGCCAGGTGATGTTAAGCCTCAACATCTTTATGCTTTCTTATGCTGAGCTTCTTGAGTGCCCGAGAGATTTTATTCTTTAATGGGAAACAAGCAGTTATGTCTGTGCCATTTCTGCATGTTTAATGGTTGGTTGTTGGTATAAAATGGTTGGTTATTGGTATGTGTCGTAAACATCGTTGATTACCAAAATTAGTGCTTTGCCTCCTGCTTTTTAAAAATAAAGGGATGTTGTGCTTGTGTGGCAGCTCAGGGACATCTGGTGCTGTCAGAGCAATCTGTCTGCTGAGATGCTGTGCAGGCAATGCCCTGTCCAGAGTAAGATTTAAAACTACCAAGCTTTAAAACAAATTCAACAGGTGTTTAGGAAAAGAGGTAGAAGGAGACTTTGGAAATGTATTTCTTTTCCTGACTTTTTAAAAAATTACAAAGGTGAGTTTAGTCTAATCTTGAATTTTGAGGGCAACCCAAAGTGGGAAGAGCTGGAATCTACTAAGTCTGAAGTGGTATGAACTGGTTTTACAGACCTGTAAATACTTTAAATCCATTTTTTACTGAAATGATCATTCTGGTTGTTCCTTTGTTGTGCTGTACAGCATCACAGCGTTAATCTAGTGATCTGTTGTAGTTCATTATTTTTTCTAGACTACTGGTTTCAAAAGCAGAGCTATTTTAATAATTTCACTAAACTTTTCCTATAACGATATTTGCTGTTCGTTGGGATGTTGATATAAAACTGTAACGGGAAGGAACAGCTCAGTGATGACTTTTGAAAGATCTCTGCACGCAAATCTGCTTTTCTCTCCTATGTAGGTGGTAAGGGGAAGTGTAGTAGATGTGTAAGCTGTTAAATATGAACCAACCGGATTTTCTGGCTTTATAAGGCTTATATTCACTATTTTACCTTTTGTACTTCCAAAAAGTGTATGGGATGAAGGGATGGGTTGACTGAGTTGAGTTAGAACCTGGCTCCTGGTTTGACAAAGCATTTGGGATAGTGACTCATGGTGGAGCTGAGAAAACTGGCAGCTTTCTGGTGCTGTTGAAGTTGAGGTGTTCCCTTCTGCTCCCCCAAGACCTTGGGCTGTGTCTCAGAGCTGGTCTAGGAGTGCAGGACAGCCAGCTGGAGGCAGTGGAAATCGGGAAAGGGTTATTTGCTTAGCCTCCAGTGTCCTGGGTAAAGTGCCCCCATTACCTGTGAGGTCCTGTTTCATTGCTTGGGGACCACTGATGAGTAGACCAAACATTGCCTATCCTGTCATTGCTCTGGTAAAGTATTGTAGCTTTTGAATAGGTTTTGGTGTGGTTTTGTTTTGTTTTTATTTTCTAACCAAAACATGCAAGTAATGTCTATATATTGTCATAACAAGCAGTTTTAAAAACTATCACCAGTTGAACCAAACCTGGTATTTCCAGAGACAGTATAACCTTAACTTACACTGAATGGATGAGTTGTGTGTTTAATAGCCTCCATTTTAATTTATTTTTAAAATATATGCCAACAGCATTAATAATAATAAAAAATGGGATTCATGTAGCTCTCTTCTTCTTCTAGAAATGACTGCTGTTACTGCAGGCAATGTTAACTTCAAATGGGACCCCAAAAGCTTGGAGATCAGAACACTGGCAGTTGAAAGACTACTTGAGCCTCTTGTTACACAGGTAGGAAAAAAAAAGGGGGGGAGAGGGCGTGCAAAAACCCCATTCTTAAGGATGACTACCTCTTTTGATGTATTATTTCAATTAAGTAACTTTCAAAGCTTGAATTCCAGAAGTAAAAGCGCTACAAAACTAAAGATGGAAAAAAGAGTACAAGTAATTTCTTCGTTGAGTTTTATTGTAACAGAATTGTTGGGCATGAGTGTAGAAAGACTGCTTCTTCAGCACCTGGTAAGACACAGTATTTCAATTAGAAGGGCAGCAATGCATGTTAGTAATGAATGTTCCATTGCTGCGGGGCTGTTTCTCACCTGTGTTTTTGGTGGTATGCTGCTTGTTTGTTGAGTCGTTAAAAAGCTGCGCTATGTATCCTTTACAAACTGGTATTTGGGAATGACAAAAGTCCCTTGCAACAAAGCTGTTAGTTCTTGCCAGAAGTAGGGTCTTGTGAGGTTGTGGGTGTGGTATTTGTGTTGTGGTTTTGTGGTTTTTTTTTTTTTTCTTCTTTCAGATTACCTATGTTCAGAGTTCCCTTTGGAAGGTAGTTCAGGTAAAGGGTGAAATGTGTGGTGGGGAGTGTTTGCAACCTGTCTAGAACAGCCTTGTGTTGTAAATAGTTACTGATCCCTCCTAACTGAGTTCCATCCCAGAAGTATGCATTTATGGCAGTTGTTACTGTTGCAGTGTATCTTTTACAAGAGATGCGTTCCTCCTTTTAACTTCTGCCTACACTTTATGCTGGGTTTATGAATAAAAGCTTATTTCTGCATGGTGTGTATTGCCCAGTGAAATGCACTGCAGAATATAAGAAAGCCAGTGTAAGTCTTGTAAATGTAAGCTATGTGTATTGGGCTTTTTGATGATTCTTGGAAGAGACTTTCTAGGAAGTCTGGAAGAGAAGGTGCACTGGAGACAGTTAACTCATCGGTATTAACATCCCTTTAATTGTCAGGCTGCTGTCCGTACCTGCCATTTGTTCCCTCCAGATAGTCAGATGGGCAGTTGGATGATCTACTATATAGCTTTTTAGCCAGAGTTACTGATGGAGTCTTTCCTTAAGAGAAATTGTCCTAATTTGACAGACTTACCTGAGCAAACTTGTTTACAGGACCTTTTTGCCCAAAGTTCAGTGTCTGTGACTCATTCCTCAAGTAGCATAATAGGCTGTACTGGCAATCCCAAACTTTGTGAATAATGTGACTGGCAAAATCCAGAGAGGAAAGTAGAGTAAGTTGCCTTGTTGCAACTTGTTCTTTATTTGTAGTACATGATGAACTGAGACTACCCAATACAAATGCTCCCCATTAACCGACAGCAATATTCCCAAATGATGGCTTTCCCTCTCTGAATCAACCTACTGAGAAGATGGATTCAACTCTGAGGACCTTTATGTCAGCAGTCCTTGGGCTTTCCAGACTAGTAATATTTTTAGTGTTGTAATTTAATGTCCCTCTGAAGTAGCTTTGTATAGACTTTCCTAGACTTAACAAAAAGGAAGGGGGCGGGTGGGGGGGTGGAGGCAACTGGAAAAGCATGTGTGGATTTTGCAACATCTATTTGTATTTGATTGAAGGGGATGGATCCTGACCCTGAGCTAACGGAGTACCTGGTGGTCATCTGGCTGCTGGTGACCAGCTCCTTAGCAGGGTTTCAGTCTAAAACATAGAACGTGGAAATATTTGTTGATTGCAGGAGGATTGTGCGAGTTTAGTCCATTGGCTGTAGTACTGTTTTGGGCTAAAAAGATACTGTGTTGCTAGATTTCTGTAGATAATGGCTTCAACCTTGTTTGGGGTCTTTTATGCCTGGAGAGCTATCCCAAACTTAATTATCCACAACTTGATTTCTTTTCATGTGGTGCCAAATAGCTCTGACCTGGTACTGAGATTGCAGTTGATCAAAAAGACAAATAGATCTCAATTCTCAAAATCAAATTTTCAGGTCTGCTGCTGATAAGAAAAATGTCTAAGCAGTTTAGCTGAATTTATAGTGCTCATCTAAGGAATCAAGGAGCATGGTAATGTTTAAAGAGATGTGAAAAACACTTGTTTGAGTTTAACCTTTGGAGTTGGCAGTAGTGCAGGTATTGGCAATATCCTGTCTAGGAAAAACTACTCGTGGCCTTGCTGTCAAATTGATAAACTTCTAATTTGTTTTATGTTTTTTGTTTTTTTCCCCTCCCATCTATGCCTTTAGGTAACAACACTGGTTAACACTAGCAACAAGGGCCCCTCTAATAAGAAGCGAGGGCGTTCTAAAAAGGCCCATGTTTTGGCTGCTTCAGTTGAACAAGCAACAGAGAATTTCCTGGAGAAAGGAGACAAAATTGCAAAAGAGAGCCAGTTCCTTAAAGAGGAGCTGGTAGCGGCTGTGGAGGATGTTCGTAAGCAAGGTAAGAGCTGTGTATCTGATCGCTTGTAAAACTATGGTTTTTCAGAGTAAGTAGAACCATTCCCGTTTCCCTTTTGCTGTTATTTCTAGTGACTCTACACCTCTCCACTTGCGTAGATTCTCGACTTGTCTTGCTGGCTTGCTTGAGGAATAATATGAACTGCGCAGATCTGGAAATTCAATGTCCCAAGTAGAGGTTGAGAAGAGAAGCAGAAGGGCTGTTTCTTTGGAGAATATTTAAAATTCAGTTTAGGCTAAAAAGTAAACTCCCCCACCCCACCTATAAATGTTATGGAACTATGTCTCAAATATGTCAATAACTTCTTCAATATTTGTGTACAAAACAGCATTGTAGGAGGAAGAGCTGAGTGTTGACTTGACAGAGCCCTCAAGTATGCAAAATGTAAACAGCCACAAACAGAATGCGAGGACCTTGATTAAATATTCCAGGCTTCCTCCCCCACATCTAGTGTTGATTTTTATAAGTTTCTTTTTTATTTTCTTGGAGAAGACCTGCAAGAAAAGCCTATGGAGCTGGCTTACTCTAAAATATGCACTAGTAAATATTGTTGCTCATAAATCATTTATCATTCTTCCAGTCATGAGCCTTTTCAATGCTTCAGTGAAACCCAGTCAACTGGTATTAATGGTGACGGCTGCCTCTGCAAAAAAAGGAAAACTCATTAGCATTAATTACTTGTTCGTAGCTGAAGTTGCACAGTGATGAAATATTAGTTGAAAATGGTTCTAAGTTCTGGACGAGCCTGGTTGACAGACCAAAGAAAGATCAACATAAAAAGGCTGCAATACAAGGGGCTAATTGAGTTGCCTTAATTTAGCGACAACAAACAACAGCAAAAGGGACCCCTTTGTCTTGAAGCCTTTAATTCTTGGTGCTTGCTTGATTGCTGCTCAGAATTGAGAGTCAGAGTTCACCTGTGAGTACCTTCAAATGACTCTTGGTGATATTAATGAGCGAGGGACCTGTACCCAGTCCCTGGGACTGAGAAGTTCTGTTAGCTGCATTTTTAGTTGCATGTTACAGTGCAAAGCTGGTAGGAAGGAGAGTGTGATATAAAAACCTTCAGGATGACCCTTTCACTTGTTTCTTGGCCCCTGCTTGACTTTGTGACTATGCATAGACTTGATACCAAAACCTCCCTGCTCTGTTGATCTTTGACAGAGGAGGTGGAGTTCATCGCTGAGAGGTGCTGGAGTGAAATAACTTCCCGCCTTAGTACCGTTTCACTTCTTCCTCCCTTTTTACTGTTGCAGCTTGCATGAAATCTGGTGCATAGAGAAGGTAGCTGTACCTGTTTTCTGAAGCTGGGTGGATGATGATTAGACTTGAGGGATTTGCCTGAATACGACCGGTGCCCACCGCCGTTTGTGGGGAAGCAGTCGCAGCAGGGCCGGGTTGCTGGGGCAGCACAACCAGGGGTAAAAGCCTGTGCCCTGTCATGCTGCCAGGGTTCGGTCAGGTTTAGCAGAGCAGCTCTTCATAAGGAAAATGAAACAAATAAACAAACCTTGGGGGAAATTAGAAGCAAATGGTGAAAAATGAGATACAACAGAGGGAAGGCTTATTGCTGCCAATGCCCAGGGGACTGTTGCGGTTCTCAGTAGTGCTAATAATAGCAAGGAGATAGAAGCTCTCAACATATGTGTTTATATACAGTCTGTGCACTTCAGAAGTGTTTCCAGTATTGTGGTAGACCAGTTGAATTCATGAACTGGAGAAATGAGGGAAATGTAATACAAAGCCTGTGCGTGTGCTTTGAGATGGTGGGCAAAAGCGGAGAGGAGAATTTGGGTGTCTTGGTCAGCAGTAGGGTGATCGTGAACTGGCAGCATGTGTGCATCTGATGGCAGGAGTGGGATTATAGATGTATAGCACAATTTATCTTCAGCAGAAGACAGGAAAATAGAATTAATAATGCCTCTATTTAGAGTAGGGAGTGGTTTAGTTGCCATAATAAAAAAAGATGAATGAATGTAGACAGAGGTTATGAAGATGATTAGGACAATAGAGAACTTGTCTCATCAGAGAAAATTAAAAAAAATTTTTTTTTTTAGCCTAGCAAGAAGAAGATTGAGAGGGTACATGATTTTAGTGAGCACGCTTGTTCATAAAATCCAATTTGTTGGAGGTAAAAACAAAGAAGTGAAAAGAGCTATTTAGAATGAATGATAGTATGGTTACATACTAAATCAATAGAAGTGGATCTTGAAAGTCTTCCTAATTTTTACAATGGAAGAATAAATTACAACTTGCTTTAAATATTAAACAAGTTCATGAAATATCCTAAAGTAAGATTCCTGGCTGTTTAAAGCTTTGGACTTTAAAAGAAGTCAAAAGTAGTGAAACTTCTTAAAATTTTGAACAGAATGGTGGAGACAAAGAACCAAAGTGTTTTTCAGAATAGATCCTGCTGTGGTTATAGAAAAGACTTAGTACTAGGAAAACGTCTGATGTGAACATCTTGGATTTCAGTGTCCTTGCAGTGTTTGTTACACTAATTTCTGCATTGAAGTTTTGCTGGGTAATAGAAGGGGCAATATTGGTCTTGCCCAGTCTTACTCCCCCTGCTCTAAGCTCTTTGTAGGGTTTTGCCTTCTTAGGAAGCATTGAGGGCTGATTATATGTTGAAATGGTCAGCTCTTCAGGTGCTGTTGGGAGGTGTTTTGGAACTTAACCAGTTTCTTACCCAGGTGCTTGGCACCGAGACAGGTTGCAAATTCTGAGGTCAAGAAGGAAATTTCTTTCAGGTCAGGCTGACCAGACTATTCCTGTTTTCCTGGAATACTGATGTCCGTAGTTTGCTGCCTTGATGTATCTGTGTACTAGTGTGAGGGTCCAGGGTACTAGCTGTGCTCTTACTGTTTTATTTCTTCCTATGGTAATCTTACATAAAAGACCGGAAATTAAAGCTTAAAACTAAAAAGCTTAAGCCTGTGCATAGGGTTTGAGGTAAGAAGATGGATGAATGGTCTTTTGAATCCTGTGGAATATGATCACATTTCATGGTTGCAAATGCAGTGGAGTAAACCTCCTGATTCAGTGTGGTGTCTTTCTGCCCTGTGTTTGAGTGAAGCTTTCTCCAAAACTGAAGTGAGGCAAATTATTAACAGTTAAAATGTTTTTTCAGCTGTACTTCACACAAGATGCATGGCATAAGGATCTCCAAGGACCAGAAGGAGGCCTGTTGCAGAATAACTTGAAGTTAAACACTGAATTCTTCTTGGGAAACTCAACTTTAAAATTCTGTTGTGACCAGTTAGCTTAATTTCTTGGAAGGGTGCGAAGAGTTCGTAGTTTTCCTGCGAGAAAAATGTTTTGGGAGTGTATCACTTGTGTTAGAAGTAATCCTCCAGCCAAGGACTCGAGATCTTTGGCAAGCCATAAGCTAAGGGAGCTCTGAGATGGCCCTTGGCAAACTATAGGAGGAGTGTTATAGGCACTATGTGGATTTAGTTGAAGACAAGATTAAAGCATGAACAGAAGCTTTTGTTGCCATAAGTATCAACTCCCATGCTGATACGGCAAAAGGAGATACAGGGCCTTGTTGTTTATAGTAGAAAGCAAGGGCAGCCTGTTGTGATGCTTATGCTGGACATCGAAGGTGGCATTAGTGGTACGATGGGACTTCAGTATCCAGAATAGTAGTGTCTTGAAACTCTGATTTCATACTTGCCTTCACTTTGTGAGGAATAAGCAACCTCTAGGGAACCGTGGTAGCGTGTATGAACAGGTAGAGGTATGGCCTGATGGCACTCTTTGTATTTCCAATACTGCCAGCAAATCAGCCTGGAGACGGGCTTTGAACTGGAAGATGCTGAAGGGTACAAGGTGATGTGTGGGCGCAAATTTCTAGCTTGGAAAAAAAGCATCAGTGCCTGTGTATGTCCTGGGTCTTCCCTGCCTTGCCTTGCATGTCGTCTCTGCTGCCTTCCAGTTCTGTCAGTGTTCGTATAAAGCAAGCCCTCTGTCGTGGTCATCGTGTACCGTGCTGCTGAGGAGGATTAATAGTGCTGTCGGAAAGTGCTGTCAGACCCTGTGGGCATGGTGGGAATGAGACTAGAAAATGGTAATTTTCTTTTGATGGACTAAAATCTTACTATTTCTGAAATGGGCTTTGTTCCATTAGATTTAATTGAATTCTTAGTGCTTTATTGACAAGATCATAGTATGGCTACCATTGCCTCTTCTTTTCTCGGCTCTGTTTTATTATCTTTCCCTTGTAATATCTAGTGAAAATCTGAGGTTATATTGGAAAAACTCATAAGAATTTGTACCATCTTTTTGTATAATCTAAGTCTCATAATATGACTCTTCTGCAGTGTATTTCTTTTAACTCTCAAAATCCTGCTTTCAAATTTGCTGTGCTACCTCCGGTTCAAATTTGAAAATGAGAAGATTGTGCTGGAACCAATTTGAACCGCTAATGCGCACGCATAATGCAGTAACTGTGTACTTAGGTCAGGGCAGAGTTTCCTCTTACCCTTTGAATCTAGCTAAGATAACTACCCCACATTGCTTTTTCTTTGTAAAAGAAGTCTGAAAGCCAGCTTTCTTTAATTTGCAGAAAAATATATATATGCAACAACTTTAAATATAATCTTCCTTTAATTCTGGAAAGCTGGTTGTCTTTTGACACCCTGACAAGCTGTTGGAAACTCACTAAATCTTTTAAAGTCTCCTTGTTAAAATAAAAAGGAATGGCATTTTATTTCAGGACTGGCTTGTAAGGTTGCAATTTCAGAGATGAGTTAGAGGATAATTTTGGTTTTTAAACTTGTTAGCAATTTCTGAGATTCACATGAAGTGAGTGACCACCTCTCAAGTTGTTTTAAATAGGAAATAAATGAAAACAACATTCCTCTCTTGGGAGTTGGAAATGTGGGAATTTTACATATGAGTAAATAAGGGAGGCAGTATTTGTAGTGAATTTTGGTTCTGGCATATATCCTGAAATTCTGAGATTGTTAACAGATTTCATACAGGGTGGTGACATTAATTCACTATTATTAGCCTCTTCCAGAAGGAATAAAGAAAAGAAAGAGTTGTGTCAGCTATGTAGGGGTTTTATAATCTCATGGCTGGTTGCAGTTTTTTCAGCATTGGAGATGCATCATCTTTCACCCATCTGGAAATCTGAGGCTCTTGACACTTGTTAAAATAATGAGTTGTGTTTCTCAGAGTTGGGTAGGGGATAGCTTTAGATTGATATTTATAGCTGGTCTGTACTTGGACAGAAGCTTTTTTTCATATGTCACAGTAGTGAAGTAGCATATTTTTTTTTTTAATCTGAAAATGTTGTATGCCACTCTTCATCATATTATTTAAGATGATGGAAGGGTGTTACATAGGAGGGAGCATTGAACAAAATACAGTGTCTTGATGTCATTGCTTGGACAGGCTGGCAGCTGTGTTTGGGCTGTATTTAGCTACGAAGGTGTAGTGTGCTTGGGTGCTAGAAACTCTTCCAGGGCAAGATATTAATTGCTTAATGATAAGTATGTGGATGATTAACCCCAGACTCTCCAGCTGTAGGTATTTTTGAGTAGTTAAAATAGTAGTTAAAAAAAGGTTGTTAAAATTGAAATGCTTCCCATACCAGGGATATGCTGCACCGATTGCCTAGCTGTGGGAGCTGGCAAGCTGTTGGCAGGATGGGGCCACTGCATCATCTTGAGATTTTGGTGCAAATGTCGCCCAGCTCCATTTGGTAGTGGGCTTGATGGGAGTCACCGTCAGCTTTCACTTGTGCAGCATTGTTGGAGGGTCTTTTCTTATCTGAGATGTACTGTTTTTGTTTTGGCATTCGGCCATATGGATGCTTTTTCATACAGGTTTGGGAAGCCTCTGACACAGCAGTTAGTTGTAACGGAGTTCGCCTGCTTTCTGGTCATCTCTAGCTGCCTGCAAATCCTAGGCCTTGAGTACCTAGCGTTTTCTAAACTAAATCCTAGCCATTCACCAAATGTTTCTGAAATGTGAAGAGATCCAAGAATAATAATGTGGATTCCAAAACTTGCTGCTGTGTAGGAACTGTGGTACTGGAAGCAAAGTGCTGCCCCAGAAAGGGAGGGGAGAAATCCAAAATTTACTCCTCTGACTATGTGCAGACATTACTTTTATGCTTTCTGAATGCCTTCTGGAGGAATTTTTCTAGCTGTGTAAAGTGGCCTTTGCTTTTCATAGTTAGCCAATTGCATTGTTACCATCTGAAACCCAAACTCTTTCCTCCTGCACCAGATGCAGACCCACAGGCTATGAAATGTTGAAGCATTTTACTAAGGGGTGCCTTGCTTTGAATGCAAACCAGGGCACATCCAGCCAGGTCATCGCTCCGAGTTGTTTACAGTCCCATGAGCTGTGGCGTTTCCTTGTGTGTTTACAGTACTTTCTACTGCTTTCTGCTTAACTCCTACACTTGCACAAATCAAACCTTTTGCTTAAGCTTTGAAAGCATTGTAGTTTGTGAAATAACTGCAGTCCTGCATGTAATGGCGAAGGCATGCTGAATTTATGTCTCCAGGGGATTCTGGCATGTTAAAACACCTGTACAATTGGAAATAAGGACCAAAGTGTTATTTCCCAACCCTTCCTCCCTGCACAAGCACCCCTACCCTGATACCATGGTAGTATCGTTACTTAGATACCATACTTAGAGGTAGCTACATGCAATCTTAATTGCTGTCTGTACTTAAGCAAATGTGTTTTGTTTTCAGGACTTAGATTGGCTTGTCCAGGAGTCCTTACAGCCCCTTAAGAAACCCTGTGTGACGTTAAAGTCAGACCATCTTCTCTCTTTGTGCAGGTGACTTGATGAAGAGCGCGTCGGGGGAGTTTGCAGATGACCCCTGCTCCTCTGTGAAACGAGGGAACATGGTCCGAGCCGCGCGTGCCCTACTCTCTGCCGTTACTCGACTGCTGATTTTGGCTGACATGGCAGATGTCTACAAGCTGCTTGTTCAACTTAAAGTAGTAAGTGTAGTTCTTTGCTGTGATTTACTTTGCCATGCCTGGCACACCAGGCATGCTCTGTTTCATGCATGTCTGCTGACCCTGGTGTGTGCACTGTCAGGGGCTTGCTTGTGGAGCGGGGAGGTTTTTAGGGATTTTCCTCTGAGCAAAACATGTACATTGGATGTTTGTTGCTTGTTTTTACAGTCAGTGACAGTAGCTTTGGACGATGTGTTGTACTTTATCCTGAACTTTCAGAATTGAAACTAAATCCACTGTGGTCTACAACTGCAGATGATAACGAGTTTTTTTGATCTTAAAGAAATAATTTGGCTTTCTTATAACTGGTACTCTTATAGCTACTAGGGATGAGTAGCTTCGGTAGACTAAATAAAATGGATGTGAAATATCTGAGGAAGCCTTTTCTTCCGATGAGCAAGAGGGTGGGTGGGTGGCTTGTACAGAATTTGGAATGAAATGAGGTTTGATGCTGGACCTGCTTTTGTGGCAGGGCTTTGAGGACTGTCCTCATACCCTTTGGCCATGGCCACAGCTCTGCCAGGGCCCTGTGCTAGCACTCCTTCATACTCTTTCAAATGTGTGTACTTGGCTGTCTCTGGGAGCTGGTGATTATGAAGTAGTAGCTAAGCCTTGAGTGCTATTAGCCTTTGAAGTATCTCTCCCCAAAAAATAAAAGGGGGCAGAGGAAGATTGCTTTCTCTGTCTGCTTTGAAGTATGTTCTGAATTACTTCCTGAACTGTGGGCTGTGTTACTTGGAGAAATATGTGAATATATATTCTTTTAGGTGGAAGAAGGTATCTTGAAACTAAGAAATGCTGGCACGGAGCAGGATTTGGGTATCCAGTACAAAGCCCTCAAACCAGAAGTGGACAAACTTAACATAATGGCAGCCAAAAGACAACAGGTATAGCAATGGCAGCTCGCTCTTCTGTATTTTATTTCTTCTTTTTTTTTTTTTTTTTTCAAAATGAGAAAATAAGGCAGCTTTGCTGCTCTTGGACAGTACTCATTGCTGCTAGTACTTTTTTTTAAACTTTATTTTTATTGCTGATACTTTCTGTTGCACTCTGCTGTGTTTAGGAAATTTTAACCTGCCTGGTAAGCAGGAAGTCTGCTCAGCTCAGCTGTAGTGTACTGCTTCTGACAGAATGTGTTCTAGTAGCATTTGTTTATGTTAATGCTTTAGTACCCTAATGAAATGCTGCTTCCCAAGACTTCCACTTCCCATTTTGAATTGAGATGTGACTCTGTGCCAGGTACACTCACCACTAGACCACACTGCCTTTGTGGCTTGCACAGACGGACTGAACGTGTCCATTTAAACAGGGAGCAAAAGTCGTAGCTAGACACAGAATTACAACTCTTTCCAAGAAGGTGAGTGGCGGTGCTGGTTAGTCTTGGACTGAAATGCCCGTTTGAGAAGGGGCTTAAAATCCTGTTTGTTATGTATATGTTCTGTGTTTGGATAGCTTGTGCTTAAACTTAAATTGCCTGTAAAACTTGTTTTGTTCAACAGCACTGTTCTGACTCATTCTTGTGTCGGTAAGTTTTCAAAAGAAAGCAGAGGTGTGGGCAGTCCAATTTATCAGAAATAGCATAATTCTTGTAGAGCATCTTTTGTTTGCTTGTTCTGCTGGTATGTACAAACCAAAACTGCTTATGCACCTCTGACACTGCTTGGTTTTTTTTGCACAGATTCATCTTTGAAAATAAACTGGGTACAGTCTAAAATGGATTGCCAGTTGGTTATATATCTGAAATCTGATTGCAGTAAATGGGAGTAGGGTAGTGATGGCAATGCAATAAATGTTCTTAAACTGCTTTGTGATGGATTGTTCCACACTATGGGAAGTGGTTGTACTAAATCTGTAAATCTGTAAGCCTGCTTGGAGTGCCCTCCCTGCTTAGTGTGTGTCTTACAGAGGTCACATATTACCCATTCATTTTGAAGTGTCTGTCAGGTTGTGCTTTTTTTTTTCTTCCATTTTTCTCAGTAAGGCACTCCTTTTCTTCATTTTCATCACCTCTTCGTTAGATTTAAGAGGTAACTTTAAAATTATGATACTGCTAATAACTGTGTGTGTTCTTTCTCTTAAAACTTACTGCTTGTGCTGGACTCAGAAGCTTTATCTAATCCTAGTACTTCTGTTCCAAAATGGAGGTGATGATGCTTTAGAAAATTACAGCAGTGAGTGTTTGGGAAAAGATGTATGGATTTGCTTGCTAATCTTAAATTAGCGATAATTACGGTCATTGGATTAATTTCATCTCATTGGAGATGAACAAAAAGTTGAATGAGATGATATACTTGTTCTTCTAAAATTAAGTACGTGAGTCTCTTGAGGAGAGTAAACTCCATTCTCTAGGTGTGATTAAAGAAAACATTCTGGTTGTGAGTCTTGGAGTTTAATTTAAAGAAGATCTTGCTTCTCACATGCAAGTGCAAGAAAAAATTGCAGAGGAAGTCTCTTGTTGGTTAAAATTAGTTAAAAATTAGCTTCGTTCTTAGGTTATCCAAAAATGTAAGGTATTGCGTTTTGAAGAATTAGGTTTCTTTGATTTTTTTTTTTTTTTTTTTTTTTTTTTTTCCTGGTAGATGTAATCCAAACTGGAAGGAGCAGGGAGAAAAATGTGTGCCCACAACTTCTGTGACTTGATTTACAGGTGTTACTAGCTTTCAAAATGATGGTCCTCTACTGTGGAGAGGAGCAAAATGGAATTGTGAATTGCCCTATAGCGCTGCTTTTTTTTTTGTATTTGTGAAGCTGTTCTGTTTTGAAATTAGTTGAGCCCTTAAGAATAGGAATACTCAATCGGAAGATAGTTAGGTTTGAGCATACTAGGCAAAGAACCTGCCTGTCTTTTGAGGATGCAGGGAGACAGTGTATGGATGTTAAATGTGGGGAATGTTCTCAAATGCTTTTCTTTTCCTTTAATTTTCCTAATAGGAATTGAAAGATGTGGGTCACCGTGATCAAATGGCGGCAGCCAGAGGAATTCTGCAGAAGAATGTTCCCATTCTTTATACGGCGTCCCAGGCCTGTCTGCAGCACCCTGATGTAGCTGCTTACAAAGCTAACAGGGACTTGATCTACAAACAGCTTCAGCAGGCAGTCACGGGCATCTCAAATGCAGCTCAAGCAACTGCATCAGATGATGCTGCCCAGCAGCAGGGTGGAGGTGGAGAGCTGGCTTATGCTCTGAACAACTTTGATGTAAGTTTTGAACCCTTTTTGTAAAAAAACAGCGGTAACTCCAATTCTTGTGTTAGTTCACCTGATTTACTAGCAACAGCTTGCTTTTGTTTATATTGCCTGAACGATCATTTTCTACTGAAATACATCAAGTCCCAGGTAAAGTAGGCTTTTATTTTTTTAAAAAAGTCTTTTTCCAAACTAGGATTGATGGAATATACAAAGTTATATATGCGGTTCTTGGTGATTGAAGGCTGTCAAGTTAAACTAGCTCTGAAATAGCAGTTAGCCTACTGCTACATTAGATGTAAGCCCTTGGTTTATTTGAAATTGATTATTTCATAATATATTTATGTAATATATTCTTGTAGGTGACAGAAATGACTTATTAAAAGTGAATAATGTATTTGGAATTGCCCGAACTACCTATTGAGAGGAACATGAAGTGGGAAGTTTAATATGATCTTTGGTGGGAATGAAGTCATTTTGCACTGATGTGTTGCAGTTATCTGTCATATTCTTTATCTTGCATTCAGTAAGTTACAGAGGATAGCCATGCATTTTTACTGAGAACACTTTCCTTTTGAAGCCAGTATTCTGTGTCTACCACTGATTCAGCCTCTGAATTTTAAACAACTTGGCACTAACTTACCTCTAAAACTTTATTTAATATTGCAAAGCCATCACTCAAGAGATGTTTAATACTTTTGTTTTTACCAGATATTGCTCGTGACCTCCTTTTTGCTCTTGTTTCTCCCTTACGCTACTTTCTCTGCCATGTTTCTTTTACCAGGATAAAGTACTATTTGGGTTCTCCCTGTGCCTGGTATGAAACCTTTGTGTGATCTCTTGGGTAACAAGAAGAATGTCATGGTTATCTTGGTCTTTGTGACTATGATTTCAGTTTCAAGTCTACTTTTCTTGAATTCCATCAGTTGTATGTTCAGCTGCGTAAGTCTTAAGAGCATGCCTCAGGTTAGCACCTAGGGGATGGCAGGTTCGAGCAGGTATCTGTGGGAGGGGAAGGCAGGTCCTGTAACAGCACACAATGTTAAAGACTGACTTGGTTACATAGAACGGAAGAAGCAATTCAGTTCAGGTTCATGGATTGGCTTATCTAGCTCAAACCGTTTAGTGTGTGATTTCTGAGATAAATATAGAGAGAGATATATATATAGCGCTGTATTTTACTATATGAACTCTCTAATATATGACTGGAGAAGTTTTTTGAGTGTTCGCGGTTCAAGTGGAGCTTCTGAGCTTTTGGTTCTGCTTTGTGAGGCTCTCTAACAGCAGCAGGGTTTGTTCA